ATGTCACCATAGTGAGACATGTTCATGTTTTAATGAGATATTAAACTTGTTAAAACAAAAATGTTTCTCATTAAAACGAGACAAGTTTGTGATTTTAATGAGATTCAAAACTCTACATTTTCTAGCAAGATTATAAGTTTCTGTTACAATCTTTCTTATTTAAAAAAGATATTTTGATTTTGATGAGATATAAATGTTAAAACTAGCTTTGAAAATCCTTTGTTGAGCCCAATTGGTTCTCACTGAAATGAACCAATTGTTCATTTCAATGATATTAGAACAGAAACTAATGAGATTTGTTTCTGTTTTATCATTTTCCATAAAGCTTTTATGCAACTTATATCTTATTGTATATTTTTTGTCATCTTTAGCTTGTTTGTTTTGGACAAGAAAAACTTCATAACGTTCTAAATCCTAGAAATTATGTTGCACTGAAATCTTAATAAACAAAATTTATTAAACAAAAAATGAATTCCAAATCTTATTAAGATGAAGTTTTCCCATTTCCAAACCTTTCAGACTCCGGTCTGCATCCATCTGGCTAAAATTTTAACTGTCTCATTCTTCTCATTCTATCAATAAGATAGAATAAAAATGAGTATTCAAAAACTACATAAATTTTTAATTGGATATTTCATCTAATTAAAAAAGAATGCTTCATTCTTTGACTCTGGAAAATAAAAACTCATTTTCTTCAACCATTCCTCAGATTATAACTCATAGTTGTTTGAAACCTTTATGATAAAAAAAAGAAAGAAAAAACAGTTCCATCTTAACTTCAGAAACCCCAGATCACATTGCTTCCACCACCATGTTTTACTGTGGGTGTGGTAGGGTGGAATGTTGTTTTTGACTGTGTGGTTTCAAGACCAGAACTCATTCTCTCAGAGAGTTCTGGAATATTTTGTGACCCATATCCAGACCAAAACTCTCTAGTCTCAAATTTTGGCCTGGAAATTACAGGGTTTTTTTTATCTCCCTGTCCTGCCATGCTGATAAAAGTATCAGTGATACTTAGTATTTTAATATTTTCCCATAAATGTTCCATATTATGCCCCCTCCACACATTTAGCAGTGAGTACATTTGTGTGATTTGCAGAGATAAGCCCCTCCTCCTGGCTGTGATTGGTTGTTTTTGGCACATCTCTTCAGATGACAGTAGCAGATCAAAGAGCAAGCGGAGCTCCATCTTTTCACAGATTATTTGTCTCATAAACTGTCATGACATAGTGACAGTTTAAAAAAAGTATGTAAAAAAAAACAACAAAAAAAAAAGCTAGGTAGTGCAGCTTTAACTCTTTGGATTTGTTTTGTATCCTTGTCGTGAATTACATCTCTGTCCAACAGTCCCATTGGATCTTTGTCACCTGTGGGGATGAATGATCCAAACAAGGGAATGTAAGGAAAATGTCTAGAAATACAACAACTATGATCCAGACCCAGTTCTTCTGCTTTCTTCCTACTAGCAATGGTTTAATTTCATTAAACATTGATTCCAATCTAAACTTCATGATGGCATCTTTCCTAATATAATAAAAAAAAACATAACTAAGAGCCTTGAGTTTATTGATTTTAATATCCTCTCTCGATGATGAGTCTCTCACGCTCCGATCCCTCAGATAAATATACCAGGAGACAACACGTTGTGAGTGTTTGTGTTTGTGAGCAGATGTGTGTTTGGAACATTTAGTCACCCAGAAGAGGCAAAGGACAGCTGAAAGGGGGAAGGGACAGCCGATGGGGATGTAATGGAAAAATCACTCTGTATTACAGCGAAACACAGGAAATGCTCTCAATTGAGCCTGATTGCCTCCTGTGCCTCCTCCTTGCAACTGCTTCTGTTTATTGACAGAGCCTCCTGAGCAATATTAAAGCTCCTTTAGAGAAATATAACAGTGGGTCTCCCAGGGTGACGGAGCCTCTGTGACACCAAGGACAAGTTTCCATCAGATTTCATCATCCAAGGGCGTCCAGATGAAGTTTACCAAGTCAGGCTCAGATGGAGGCTGTTGGTAACGTAAGGCCGGTGGATCAAAACCACAACCAAGCCGATAAAGGAGTTTCAGACACTGCTACCATTTACAGACAAAGGGAAATAGTGTATAAAAACATCATCTCTGAACTAAAATAATGGACTAAATAATTTTTTGACAAAAGTGATTATTTTTGCATAAAACATCTGTTGAAAAGAAAGAGGAGGTGATTTTTTATTTCTTTCTCCAATTGTTGGACAAAATGCTTTTCAAATGTACAAAATTAATAATCTACTGATAAAGAAATGAATGAAAATGCACTGAGTACGACTACAACTTTTTTTTCTTTTTTAGATTGTTTTCAATAAGAGTGCAACAATACATCTAACTTACAAAATGGCATTTTATTCACGAGAGCAAGAACAGATAAACTGAAAAAAAATCTTGGTTTTTGTTTGCATGTGAAGGTTTTCAAAGATTTTTTGTAAAGAATCTGTCATCAGCGTATAATAACTCATTTCAGACGTTTTCCTGCGGTTTTGGGGAGTTTTTTTTTAGGACTAATGACATGTTGAAAATGCTTCCTTTTGTGTTTTGAGAAGAAGAATAAAGATTTTATTTCTGTAAAACTGCCTAGAGGAACCTGGTCTCATTTTGTTATTTATCTTTAAGGACATAAAGAAAAATTTAAAGCGAGTTAGGCTGTGCTTTTCTATTTCTCTGATGTAATAATGTGTTACCTTTTGATTAAATAAATGACATTGAGACTTACTGGATTTCTTTTCCATTTTAGCACTGTTTACAAGTACTTTCATTAATATATATTGAAAAGAGTAAAGAGATATTAAACAATTGTATTGTTATAAAATGTCGGAAGGGCTTTTTGATCTCCTCTAAGCATTTTCTCTCAGATATCATTCCATTATCTCAGCTGAACACCTGCAGCCACTTGATATTAAATCTTCCCCGAGCGAGTTGATGTGTAATACAACGATTAACGTCAGTGGCTGTTTAAATTCAATCTGCAATGCGTTAAATTTATATGTCGTGTTTCTGCACGACTCCAGCTGCAAGTTGCTGGAGGCTGGCAGGTTTTAATCTGTCGTCTGGGAGATTTCCAGACTGCAGTACAGCGGGCTGCGGGGGTGCAGAGGGACGGACATTTTGGATGTAAGTTGGAGTTGAGGAAAATTCAAGTGAAGTTCATCAAAAACGTTTACACTGTAAAAACAACAGCCAGAAACTGCAAAAACCGAATGTAAATTGCAAAAGTACTACCTCAAAGAAAGTCCACATTTACGTTAGGCTGGTGAAAATCAGCTTCTTGTTCTACGCTTCACTTCTTTCAAAGGATCCGGACACTCAGCTATGGAGAAATGATGGCTTCCTGGAGGCTTGGCCTGGTGGGGTTTTAAAAGTTCCTAATGTTTCCTGATGACATGTGTAATGCGCCAGTTCAACGCTAAGAAGCTTTTTGGAAACTGCCTGCACTGTAAACAGTCGTCTGCAAAGACAGAAAAGGTGAGGTGGATATTCAGCAGGAGAAGAATTGTTTAAACACTACAGCAAAAAATTGCACTGGCTGTAGTGTTTGAATGTCTCCATCTTTCCAAAGGCCACATCCAGCATGAATTAATCAAATCTCAAGCTAACTTGTTGAGCTTGTTAATGAGTTCTTTGTACTGCATTGGTTGCCAGTGCTGTATTTGTTGGCATGACCAACACGGGCTGATAGGCTTCCTTCATTTTCGCCACCGCCAAACTACAGACAGACTATGACTCTATAACAGAGCAGAAGATTGATGTCATCAATTACTACTTCTGTTTTCTTATTGGCTCAGTGTAAAGTCCGGTTGAGCTGGATTCCTCCAGTAAGGAGGAATCCATACTGATCACTGAAGGGAAATGAGAATAAAGTGGAACTGTGTAGAAAGGCCAGGTTAGATTTATGTGCTACTTTACGTCTGCCTATTAATTAAAGTCTCAAAACACGGACAATTTTGGCTGTTAAAGTTCAAGGGGTGTGAAAACTCCTGCGAATGTCCAATTCGTTGTTTTCTGATTTCAACCTCCAGGCTGACATTTTCAGCCTGGAGGTTTGCTCATTCTTGACCTCTGAATCCTGAAAATCAGTTATTGATGAAATTGTTTACCGTCCTCTGATCCAAACATTACCAAAGGCCAGCTTTGCTTCATTTGCCAAGCTGTTATTTTCGTTCCTTAGACCTGAAGGGTGTTAGCATACCAGGGATTATTGCTTACTTTGCATGATATCCGGATACCTCCATAGCTGCTGATAATAAATGTTGTCATTTACTGGAAAGAGAAACATTACATGGTATCTGGATAAGAATGATGGATTTTAACCATTTTCCTTTGTTCTGATTCCGTTTTTGACTTTTTCTCCTTTGTTTTAAGTTGTCTCACTTGCTCCAGGGGAAAAACCTCTTAAAACATGATAGAAAAGAAAAGAAAAAGCTCTCTACTAACAAATCCTAGCAGCTTCTGATCATGGTTTCCAAATTATTATTATTTTTTTCTTTGTGTTTATTTTTAGGACTTACAGAAACAGAACACTTGCATAAGTCCCCGGTGCAGATGCATGCTCGCTGTGGCTCCTCTGCTGCCTGCCGGTGCGACCGCGCTTTCTGAAACACGCCTCTGGCCTGAATGATGCAGCGGCTGCAGAGCAGTTGTTGACATTTTTCTAGCAATCAACCATCAAGCTGAGAGCGTCTGTTTTCACGACCGACCCTGTCGTCTGTCAACACCACAAGTCTTATCTCAGAGACTTCTTTCTGTCTCTTTTTGTTTTCCCTTTGTGCTGTTAAGCAATCAACTTTCTCTCCTGAAAGTTCAAATCTTTCGACTCCCTCTTGGATTTGTAGTGAAGTTATTTAATTTGTCCCTCAGATATCCAGTGCTTCATCAAAAGCATTCATGGAATCACATTACATTAGATTTATTTTGCTTTAAATATACAGAAATGAACATTGATTTGGGGTAATTGTGTTCTTTGCTCTGCAGAGACCTGAAGTTGGACAACATCCTGCTGGATGCAGATGGTCACTGCAAATTGGCGGACTTTGGGATGTGCAAGGAAGGAATCCTGAATGGAGTCACCACCACCACCTTCTGCGGGACGCCAGACTACATCGCACCAGAGGTCAACTTTTCTAGAAAATTAAACAGTTTGATTTTTGGGTCATTCTCTGAATTCGGTGCATTTTGTGTCTCACAGGTTTATCTCAAAGATTTTAAAATAATGCAAACCACATTTTTGGAGAAAATCAATAAATGGAAAATATCCATGTGCCTTGGTAATATGACATGCAAGTATATTTTAAAAATTATGTTTTTAAAAATTTTATGGGTTGTTGAAGAGTAGAGGTCAGCCAAAGGAACATTTTCCCACTGACCAATGTTAATTTTTCAATGAATATAAAATAAATAAAAATAGCCAGTAACTGCAAGATATTTATACTAATATAAACATTTTTAGGAATACCTTAACCTAAATAAAATAAATATGAGAAAAATACATGAATTATTTATGAAATAGTACTTTTAGATTATGTCCCTCCAGTTTTATTCAACCCTGTAACAACATACCAATCCCTCCTTTTTATAAATAATGGTTCAGTCCAGTTTCCTCAGCACCCTGGAAGTGACATCACTTAAGTCTTTTCCCACTCACACTGCAAAGTGATTTAAGTGTTTGAGAAGTTTCTTGCCTATATTTGATTATTTTCATCCACAAATCATCATTGCCAAGCTCAACCTTTCAACACTTTTGCACACGTAAATGATATTTATTGTTTGGGAAAAAGTAAAGAATTGTCTCTGAAACATATATTAATGTCTTGTTTTGATCATATGATATGTTGCTCCAAACCCAACTAATGTGGACTTACTGCAACTTCTAGTGAAAATCTTCAGACCCGTAACGTTCAAACGGGTGGTTTTTGTTGAAGGTTGCAGGTTGGACTGTTCTTAAGCCAGCCAGTGTTCAACCCTGTTACTTGATACATTTTTTATGATTTTTTTAAATATAATAGCAAATATTAGACTAATATTTGTTGGACTGTATGCAAAGTTTAAAGAATAAGTCAAAAACTTAAAACAGCCTGATTTAATGTTATTTTAAAGTGTATTTTTATGATTTATGAAAAGCGCTTATATGTCAGGTTGCAAGATTCTACTTATCAGTCTAATTATTATGATTCAGAATCAAATAAAATATATTAACAATAAGTTATTTCAATCAAGGGACAGGAAATTTCAAAGGAACTAGAGGAGGATGGTGACCACACCATGAGTTTCTCCCCTTTTATGCCCATAGCAGCCAGTGACACAGTGATATTCCTTGCATCATGAGATGGTGCATTTGTCATGCATGAAGGTGATTTTGCTACAGAAGGTACGGCTCTTTTTTTTTTAACCATGAAAGAAAGTGATCAGTCAGGGACTCTGAAGGGGCCAACCAGATCTCTCTCCCCATGATTTCGGTCCAACAAATGACTCCACTACCTCTTTGCTGATGTCACCAATCCACTGTGTCTATCTGGACCATCCATGGTTGCACAGCAGTCATCAGTTAACAAGTCTGTTTGAAAAGGAATCTTTATGTACAGCTGGGCCCACTAGTAACCTAGTAGGTTCATGCACCGCAAGCCTTTGAGGATCCTCCTCCTTGAGGTTCCAGAGGCACCAGCAGTTCCAAATAACTATTAGCTGCTTTGTAGGAGCATTTTAACAGCTGCACACTTAATCCGATGAATTTGTCTAACAGAAACCTTTGTCATTATGCCTTTTTGCAAACAGCAGAAAATTGTTATGTAACTGAGCTCAAAAGCTTGATTGATTTCCAAAATCTTGAAGTGGAAGAGGTCAGTAACTTTAGAAAATAATCATGTTTCATGTGATCAGATCCTTCAGGAGCTGGACTATGGTCCGTCGGTGGACTGGTGGGCTCTGGGGGTTCTGATGTACGAGATGATGGCGGGACAGCCGCCGTTTGAGGCTGATAACGAAGACGACCTGTTCGAGTCTATCTTGCATGACGACGTCCTCTACCCGGTGTGGCTCAGCAAGGAGGCTGTGTCCATTCTGAGAGCGGTCAGTAGGAGGTGCTGCTCCTGTTCAGTGTCTTTTGTGTTTCACAGCCACAGAGGTCTTGAAGCTTCTTAAAGGGTTAGTGTTATGTATTTTCCAGACACATAGTTCCACTTTATGGCACAACCAAGTTACCTTCAGTTGTTATAAAAATGTTCAAATATGACTTCAAAGAAATTTTACTTTGTAATTTAACATCTTGGAATTTGGCCTCTGTCTCTTTAAGAAATTCCTGCTTGTTCTGAAGCTCTCCCTTCAGGAAGTGATCCCAACATAGCTCCTCTATTAACAGCCACTGTTTTAATGGTTTAACAGCGTTACTCTGAGCAGTAGCTCTTATAATGGGCAGTTCCAGGAGGTGTTTGGTAATTGCTGCTGGCTAGTCTGAAGGATCTTAAAGGCGGCATCACGGGGGAGAGGTGCTTTGTAAATTGGAAATGGGCTAGGTCCACTCAGGCTTTTTGCACAGCTGAATCGTTGCCATGGAGATTAAAGGATTTCTAAAACATGCATGACAGAATCAAAGCAACACTGCAGATATTCTTTCTTTATGAGGAAATAACACTATAACATGATGTAAAGCTCAAATAAAGGTTTTACATGATACTGCCCCTTTAAGGAAGTAAGTTTAGACCCAGTTCTTGATCCTGGATCAGACATGTGCCTTTTAAGTTCCTGTTTTTTTCATTTACGTTTTTACTCCATGTATCTGCAAAGTATAATTAAGAAAAAGTCAAACTGATGATTAAAGCACAAGTTAAAGTTAAATTACTGAGAAAAAATGAATTTCATCTAATAATGTGTACAAGCTTGGTAAGGATTTTCCAGTGGGGATTGGGATTTGTTTTGGGGGTTTTTTGGGCCCATTCAGCTACAGTGATAAATTCCATCTATGTCCTTTAAAATTCAGTTACTTTATGGGAATCTGTTAAATCTAATACAATAAGACACTAAATATCATCAATATTACTTATTATTTTTTCTTGACAGTGACAGGTATCTTTACCCAACAGGGGTCTCTGCAGGACAACCTGCATCTGCTGCTGCAGCTGCAACATTCTCACATAGTTTTATCATCTGTTTGTGAACAGATAGCTATGGTTCACAAACTGTTACTGCAAGCTAGAGCTGTTACTACTGCTAATAGCTCCAAATTTCACCTCTCATCTGGAGCAGTTTGATGATGTTAGCATATCTGCATTTTTAAGAGTTGTTAATTCGACTAGCACCATATTTATATGCAGCTTCAGTTGATCGTACTGACAAAATTACAGTCGAAGTGGTTTCCTACACCATGAATTTGGCTATTCACTTTCAATGTTATAAGATTTCATAAATAGCGTTTCAGCTGTGGTCTTCAGCAGCCATAGTTGCATCACAACAGAAAATAACCTGGGATTTTAAAAAAAATACTGATAGGAGTTTGGATTTAGTCTGGAACTTTGACACTGACTTGATATATGATTTCTAAATGTCATAACGTGGACCCTGATCTGAAACATGGGATAGGATTCCTACATCCCTTAAACTTTAATAAATGAAATAAGATACAAGCACCAGAATGAACTATCTCAGAGTTTCTGTCTCCCTTTCTGGAAATGTGTACATTCTGCTACCTTAACAATAATTTGTCACTGGCTGGTTTGAGGCAACACCAGCAAAAGTTGTTTGATTTGTTCTTCAGATTCTGCTCACTTTCTTTGTAAGATATTTAGATTCAAAAATTAGTTTTGCATGTTAGAGTCATTTGGTGCTGGAAAAAGAGGCAATCAGAGCTAAGTTTAATTTCAATAATCTCACCATTTCCAGGTGTGAGGAAATGGTGAGATTTCCTCATACCTGGAGGTACAACATAGTTCATATGCAGTCTGAAAAAGTTTAACATTTGATTTTCAGTGTTTTCTAGACCTAGATGAATTTTTATAAAGAAAATGATGATTGAAAAAATAGTCACATTTCACCATGACAGACATTGAAACAACATGAGCTAACTCCTGAAAAGCCTATCAAATAACAGACAGTCACTGGCCTTCGTATAGTGATTTTCACTGTAAAATGGCCATAGGTGCTGGGTCAACTGTACTAACAGATAAACCAAATGTGTCATCTTATGGTAAACCTTTAGATGACGAAAGAAGACGATAAGGGACAGCAGCCATCTGTCATGACTGGCAGCACTCTGTGTTTTCAATGATGTATGTCAAATGCTTTTCACAATGTAAAACATTAATATACTAATTTAATCAGGAAGATCAGTAAGACACAATCAAATATTGGGTACGTATTCATTCATTAGTAACCATGTAGAAATGTATTCAACATTGCCTTGGTCCGATTATTGCAGCCTGTGGGGTTTTCCCTGACTGGGAGCAGAACGCAGCCTGTTGAATGTGACAATCAGACAATCAGAAAGTGTAGCAATGCAAGAACAGAGGGAATCCCAAACAGTTGACATGGAATGACTGAAAGTGCCATGTCCACATATCGGAGGTGATATGTGGACATGTTTATTACTATATGTAAAGGTCATTTTTAAATATGTTTATTATATGTTATGTTTATTCAGTTAAAAATGTTGACTACTAAAAAACATATGTCACCTCCAAATCATAGTGCAGCAAATTGAGAGGCTGCTCCTACCATCTTTTATCAAACACCTTTTATTTTTGTTACATCTTTTGTCACTTAAATTGAATCCACAAACTATCACCACTGCTTCTACATCGTCATCTGTGTTTGATTATGCTAAATTCATGTATGGTATGTTGGGGGTTTTACTGGATTTTCTTCTTCTGTATTGCTCCTGCCATGTGGCTGGACACACAAACTGACCAAACCTGTTGGACTTTATCGGCTTGTGTGTGGGGTCACTGAAGTTTGGAAAATCAAATTAAATCATGCCAGTGTGAACCAGACCTAAAACTCACTAGCTCTAGCTCTCTGACTCTGCTCACTATGGTAACGTTTAACATCCCTTCAAAATGAGATACAGGTGCGCCACAAAAACAAACTTTTACTTTGTTGAAAGTTTTAACTCGCGATAATGACTATTGGAGCCCTGAGCTTGCTTCTCCCATCTGGAAGTGATGAGAGACAATGATACCTGAAGTCCTGAAGTGTTGCTTATGCACAGGGTGCTTGGTCTCTATGTGGTGAAGCAGTTTGAAGGCTTCATAGCGAGCCGGTCACCATATCATGCAGAGCGGGCTTGGAATGTGGGAATCACCTACTGGTCAGGGAAAAAGCCATTCTCCTGTCTCTTCTCTGGGCCTTTTCCCCTTCACAAAGAAACTTTCCAAAGACATTCGATCTGTTTCTGACTAAAATAAATCACGACCACCAAAAACAATTTAAGAAATAAATACAAAAAAAATGGAAATAAAAACCACACACAACTGTTTCTCAACTGAAACAATTGAGGAAAAGGATTATGAAAACAAAATGCAGTGGAAAAAAATTATTGTGCCGATGCCACAAACTGAAATAGAAAAATCTTGTGCTTTTTTGTTTCTAAACCTCCCACACTGCTCCTTTAAACTAATAATCCTCTGTCTCCTTGTGTTTGTCAGTTCATGACGAAAAGTCCGAACAAGCGTCTGGGCTGTGTGACAGCACAAGGCTGTGAGGATGCCATCAAGCTCCATCCGTTCTTCAGAGAAATCGACTGGATACTGCTGGACCAGAGGAAGATCAGGCCGCCGTTTAAACCTCGTATTGTGAGTTCAGTCGGGGAGATCATGTGCTAACGCTTTCCAAAGAAAGTTCTTGTTTGTTTTATAACTTGGTTAAAAACTGCTGACACAGGTGCATGAATCCCACGAGTGCAAAGGCTGAAATCTGACCAAGCAGCACCTTATCTGATGTTCTGCTTCTTACAGAAAACCAAAAGGGACGTCAATAACTTTGACCAGGATTTTACACGTGAAGAACCTGTCCTGACGCCTGTGGATGACAGCATCATCAAACAGATCAACCAAGATGAATTCAAAGGATTCTCCTACTTCGGAGATGAAACATCTTAGATTACCGACATGCTGGATCTCAACTACTCCAGGAATTATACTAGTGTCTTCACTACAAATCCTGTGCTTTTGTTTGGCCATTCATACATACAAACTAAAACTGTACACTTCAGAAGCATGAGGCAGGTGTATGCATGCATCTTCAGAGAGACGCTCATTCCTTCACACAATGTGACATGTCCTGTATCTGCCTTTAAAGAATGTTTGATGTTTTTTTTTTCTCTTGAAACATTTCTGAATGGCAAAACTATGAATGAATGATTGTATTGAAAGCAAAAAAGTGCTTTATTCCCTGACAAATGAAGCGAGGAAAGAAGGAGAAGTTACTTTTAGTCAAAGCAAGAAAAGAAATGTTAGGAAGAGGCACCAAGTCCTCAACATTTGCATTGCTAAGCTTCAATTTTAGTCCAGCTGTTTTTTTTTTTTTTTTGAAGCAAAGAATGGAGAAAAAGCAAAAATGATGGTGTGGCGGATTAGGGCCATCAAATATATATAATTCCCTTCTCATCCACCGTGGGTGCTTCTTATCCTCTGAGCTCGGGTCCTCTACCAGAGGCCTGGGAGCTTGAGGGTTCTGCGCAGTATCTTGGCTGTGCCAAGGACTGCACATTTCTGGACTGAGATGTCTGATGTTGTTCCTGGGATCTGTTGTAGCCACTGCTCCAGTTTGGGGGTTACTGCCCCGAGGCCCCGATGACCACAGGCACCACTGTGGTCTTCACCTTCCAGGCCCTCTCCAGTTCTTCCCTGAGGCCCTGGTATTTCTCCAGTTTCTCGTGCTCCTTTTTCCTGATGTTGCAATCACTTGGTATTGCTACATCTACCACAACGGCTTTCCTCTGATGTTTATCCACTACGACAATGTCTGGTTGGTTCGCCATTACCATTCTGTCTGTCTGGATCTGGAAGTCCCACAGGATCTTAGCTCTGGTGTTCTCTACCACCTTTGGGGGTGTTTCCCACTTTGATCTCGGGGTTTCCAGTCCATATTCTGCACAGATGTTTCTGTACACTATGCCTGCCACTTGGTTATGTCGCTCCATGTACGCTTTCCCTGCCAGTATCTTGCACCCTGCTGTGATGTGCTGGACTGTCTCAGGGGCCTCCTTGCACAAAACCTACACCTTGGGTCTTGTCTGGTGGTAGATCTGGGCCTCTATTGCTCTGGTGTTTAGGGCCTGTTCCTGGGCGGCCAGGATGAGGGCCTCTGTGCTGTCCTTGAGTCCAGCTTTTTCCAGCCATTGGTAGGATTTACTGATATCAGCCACTTGGGTTATTTGCTGGTGGTACATCCCATGTAGGGGCTTGTCCTCCCATGATGGTATCTCTGGCACCTCAACCTCCGTTCCCTGTTGTCGGAGACATTCACTGAGCACATTGTCTGTTGAGGCTTTGTCCCTGATGTATTTATGGATTTTAGTTGTTTCGTCCTGGACAGTGGTTCTCACACTCACTAGTCCTCTGCCTCCTTCCTTGCGGCTCGTGTACAGTCTCAGGGTGCTGGATTTGGGATGGAACCCTCCATGCATGGTTAGTAGCTTTCTAGTCTTAATATCTGTGGCTTTTATCTCCTCCTTTGGCCAGCTAATTATTCCAGCAGGGTATCTGATTACTGGCAGGGCATAGCTGTTTATCACATGGATTTGTTCTTGCCATTGAGCTGGCTTCTCAGGACTTGCCTTATTCGTTGGAGGTATTTAGCTGTGGCTCCTTTCCTTGTGGCCTCATCGAGGTTGCCATTTGCTTGTGGTACCTAGGTACTTGTAACTGTCCTCTATGTCTGCTATTGTTCCTTCTGGGAGTGAGACTCCTTCTGTGCGGATGACCTTCCCCCTCTTTGTGATCAGCCGACCACACTTCTCTAGTCCGAATGACATCCCAATGTCCGTGCTGTAGATCCTGGTGGTGTCAACACTAAGTGCTAAACAACTAGTAGCTCAGTGTTCCAACATCCGCAAACGGCAACTGCTATCACAACTTGAGATTGACGAGATACAACACAAATGCTACGGCAAAAGGGAGGAACCCGGGTGTCAGAACTGTGGGGACTTAACTACAAGTCCCCACCCAGTGAGGGGATACACGGCCCCAATGAGCGAAACAGAGTTGAACGAGACAGCTTGTGAACATGAGAGAGAGAATCATGACCCGAATGACAACCAGGCCTCCTCGGCGCCAATTACAACGGCTGAGTGAAGTACCATCAGAAAGTCTCATTGAGAATGTGAATGCAGCATTGAGAACGATACCCTACCAACACCATAACAGAAACCAATGAGCTGATCTACAACTCAGCATCAGTGATCCTTGAGATACTTGGCTATAAGAGCAACCATGAGACCCAATACCCACCATGGAAAAGACGGTTAGAGGCTAAAATCAAGGTAACAAGGAGGGAAGTGAGCCAACTGTCAGAGCTCCACAAGGGTACAATGAAAAGACCAGTACCCAGAAAGTACAGCCAGATGCCCATACCTGAAGCACTCGAGACTGCCAAACAGAGGCTCCAAGCCTTGGCCAGCCGCCTAAAGAGATACACAAGGGAGAATGAATCCAGAACTATATATATATATATATATATATATATATATATATATATATATATATATATATATATATATATATATATATATATATATATATTTGCAATATATAAAAACACAATAATATATATATATTATATATATATTTCATTGTGTTTTTTTTTCCAATGCTACAATTTTTGTTTTTTCTACAATGCGCCATCATAGGAAACTGATGTTCCAGCTCTTAGTTAAGTCCTAAATAGTACATTAGCTTCTTGCTAACTGAGCCTGAAGTAGCGTGACACTGGGAGCATCCGTTGCTGAGTGAAGCCCTTTCAGACGATGTTGGTCATAATTTTATTGAGATCTGCCTTCATGTTCAGGCTTTCAGTTCTATAAAGGTGCTTGTGCTTCTAGGCAAAATGCTTTGGCATGGCAACTTAAATGGGAAAGTTAACCTCCTTCATGACCTGTTTGGTTTAAAACTAGGTAAAAAACAAAAAAAAGTTTCTCAACTTTTATTGTTCTGTAAATAATAATAATGATTAGAATTGTCAGACTCCTCCACAGTCAGACTGTCTTCACCAACAAGTTTACCTGAATCCAGTTATGATGCATTGAAGTCTTAGCACTTGAACTTTTTCAAGTTTTTTCAGGTTACAACTATAAACCTTGACATTTTTAATGAAAAATTATTTTCTCTTTTTGCACATAATAGAACCATATAGTAGTGACATTTTTAAGAAAAAAATATTTTCTCTTTTTGCACATAATAGAACCACTTTACATAACTGTAAAGTGGAAAGGAAATAAAATATGGATTTCCATTATTTTGATAAATAATCAGCTCAGCCCCATTATTTGCCCTTTGAGCTCTCAAAGAAACCAGGCATTTTCCTGTGGGAGACATCAAAACATGGAATATTTTCTTCATTAAATTTAGGTCTGGCCTTTGACTGAACAATTCCGAGACTAAATAAATGCCACTCATTCCCAAGTTTTATGCACTGTTCTGTGTTAGTTTCTTACAAAACAAAATCTACTTAAATTCAATCAAGTTTGTGGTTTTCAGCTAAGAAAATATGAAAACAGTTTGACTGGCTCTGAATTGCACTGACGCAGACATCTGATTATATTAAAAACAGAAACAATCTGGTCTGTGTGACATCACAAATAAACCTTGAGGCATATTCGTACCATAAGGTATACCGTTTATACATTACTACTTGTCTCTAACCACCATTTGAAACTGTCAGGTTTTCCTTTGAAAGAATAAAATCTAAGCATTTCCATTGATTCTACAGCGTTCACACATTGAAGGAGGTTTATGATAATTATCACATTCCTTTATATAAAAATCTTGCTTTCTTCATTGAAAAAAAGTTTCCTGCATGTCACATAGACAATGTCACATGTCTATGTGACATGTATAAAAGTCACCTTGTTTGCAAATGTGATGTGAGGTGAAGAGTCCAACAACATTAACAGAAATTTTATGAAATATTTGCCTATACATCAATTTTATTTTTTTTCACAAAAATCTAAAGCCAAAGCTAAATTACAAAACGCTTCTGATTTTTATAATAGAAACGTACACTTCATTGTAAATTACTTTAACAGCTGATATAAAGCTGTTAAAGTATACCAGCTGTATTTTATTACCTTACAAACATAATTAAAAGAAAATGCAGATGGGAAGCTGAAATACCCATACCCTCTGCTACTTGACATGCCATTGGCTATAATTTGCAAAACAGTCAATCAGGGAGCAGCATACATGTTCATTGACTCTGATTGGCTGTTCTCTCAGCGGCGATGTAAAATATTGAGGAACCATCTTTATGAAATGTCTCTGGATTCTTCACCTCAGCATGGTTCTGTCCCTCTCAGTGCCTCTTAGCAGGAGGCAAGTTTGAGCAAGAAGCTTCTGGACCTCTTATCAAGGTGATAACAACCTACAGGGCTGGTTGTTAAACCAGAAAACCAAAAGAGATTTGCTAAGCGTTTTGGTCATCCAAGCATCAGGTCAGCAGCTTGATTGTCACCATTTGCTTCTGTAACACACCTTTTGTTTGAGCAGCAGCTGTGATCGATTGACGTGTTGGATGTATTGGACATATTGGACGCATCGTTCCTCAGCAGTCCGCACTCAGAGTCCAGGCAGGTTCATGTGACTGAAGAATGCATGAAACTGAATGTATTCGCTCTACAGTGTGTGTTTACATTATGCAGAGAGCTGTTGTCATATAGTCTTTAAGTTTTATTTAATGTTTTCATCACTTTCTCTGGAGTTTGTGTGATAAATTTTGACACTCCCATCTTCAGACTCATCATTTCCACCTATGATGTTCAGAGGCTTTGCTTTATGTTGCAGGTCAGAGAAGGTCTGAGAAAAGTCCCTGTGCAATACTCCATGAGAGACTTGTTTTCTTTCGGTAAATGTACTCTATCTGTCTGTCACTCCCTTCCTTTCATGGAGCTCCTTCTCCAATGACAAGTTTCACTCTCTGTGGTTAATATCTGTTCCGGCCCAGTTGGGTGTGTCTCTTTTGGCAGAGTGTTCCTCACTATGTGGGCAATAACCTGCAGATGATATTTTATTTAGCGCTCGTACCCATGAGAGGCCAGATTCTCTGACATTCTTTGGATCATTTGTTTGTTGCCCTGAGCAGTTGACAGTGAATAGACTCTTTCCACACAACTAATAAAGAGGTTTGGATTTGAAGGTTTGACAGTGAAATATGAATATTATGGTCTTGTCATAGTTTGAAGATGGTGGTTGAGATGTTGTTGACTTAAATCCATTGGCCAATCAACAAATTCAGTCTGCTTCCAATCAAATCGCTTGGCTAGATCTGCCTTGTACAGAATACAGAAAAATAGAATCTTCAAATGGAGATAAATCTGGTCAGGCTGACTGGGGAAAAACTGGGAATGCCTTGGTTGTGGAGAAGGAGCTTTATTCATAGAAAGACCAGAATAAAGAAGAATCACTAGTCTGTGGAAAGCACTGCCTTCACTATGCCTACTTTATGTCATTGCTTTCTTTAAAACCACAAACTTTATTGTATTTTGTTGGTGATTTTATGTAGTCTATAAAATGCTAGTAGAAATGTTGCAGGTTGAATGGGGCCCTAAAAACAACAACAGAAAACAAACAGACAAACCAAAACCTGGAAATGAATCAGCAAGAAGTTGCTTTATGTGTTCAACACCGACAAACTGAAATTTAGGCCCCTTCCTCTTTGGAAATGGTTCATGTTCAAACTGGATGAAGAGCGACTGTACATGCCACTGTTTAGATTTTCCTACAACTTCTTGACAAGATGTAGTTTGGCTGGGCCTTTCAAAATAAAAAAACTGCTTTAATTTGATCTAACCCAGTGGAGTTCTGGCTGCATGAGTCGGGTCGTTCTTCTCCTGGAAGGTAAACCTTTCTCCTCAGGCTGACACCATGATACTGCCACCACCACCATGTTTCACACTGGTGATGGTGTGTTAAATTGAATGTGGAGTGTTAGTCTTAAACTATTATTAGCCTCTGGTGAAGAGCTTGAGATTTTACTCTAAATGATTTACTAATGAATGACTTTGAATGAAATGTTGTAGATCACATATGTTAAAGTCAAGGCTGAATTAATTATCTGTGGCCACCAGGATGATATTTAATTACTATTTGAACCGGCAAACAGGCCACAGCCATCCGCTGGCGTTTTGCATACCAGCGGGTAGCCCAATGCAACGGTAGCCCACGAAGTCACTGAAACACAAGCGGCTTCATTATTCATCATCAATCAGAGCAGAGATCAACTTTCAGGTACCGAAAATCCTATTTATAATTTTCCAGACAACAGAAACACAAAAACACGCACGAATTACTTTTTTTGTTCTGTTGTAATCATCAAACAAGCTCCCCTTCAGTTCAACCATAAAATTGGAGAAACATAGTTGATGCAATCATTATAAAATAACTTGCTATTAAGATTTGGCAGAGATGAATATGATGTTCACAGGTGGCGGAGCGTTATTGTTGTTAGCAGCTGCTGAAAGTAACTAAAATAGTTACTTTTAATGTAACTTAGTTACTTTCCAAATGGAGTAATCAGTAATCTAAGTTACTTTTTCAAAGTAACTATCCCATCACTGCCTGTGTGTCTGCTGTGTGGAGACAGTTTGGCTGTAATGAAAGAATATCATCTCAGAAGGCATTATCAAACTTCTCAGAAACATATGGACAAAGACAAGAATATGAACATCATAGAGCAGCACAATAATGCAGTTTCAGTTTATAATGCATGCACTTCAATTCATGTATTCATCTTGATATTAAGAAACATATTTAGTTTTTCAAAACAATTAAATGTTTTGCTGCTTGCCTGTCAGTATTCCCTTGAGGTTACTGACAGTCATAATAAAATATTACTTTATTCTCTTAATGTTGAGAACATGCAATTTTTCTTTGAAGGAAGTTTGTTTTTGCCCATTGAAAAATGGTTTCACTTGAAATTACTGACAAATCCATAAGAAAATATTGCTTTATTCATTTAATTATTAAATAATATACACTGTATTAGGTCTTGGTTCAACAGGATTTGTGCAATCATTTCAACATATTTTAATAAACGTAGAACCAGTCCGGCCCTCGGCTTGTAGCACATTTGGTGTTTTTTTGGCCCTCGGTGTATTTGACTTTGACATCCCTGCTGTAGATGAACTGCAATTAATGTAAAAAATGATAATCACTTTTGCAAAGCTCAGTAAAATAGATCAATTATAAAAATCTTACAAAGTCACTGTGAAAACACATTGAGATGATGTAGTGTAGTAGCAAATTTGATACTAGGTGCACAGCTGACCAATCAAAAAACAGCAACCTTTTAAAGTAACGGGTTAAAATAGGTCAATTTAGAGAAAATAGAAATAGCAGTACAACAATTTACAATGTAAAAAATATAATGTATTTTTAAATGATGCTTGTGAAAAATAATAGAATTATTTGAAAAAGCAGGATGTGTATTCTCAGTGAGTACTTTTAATGTTCCAACACTGGGCTTGCTTGATGGATTTCCCATCACTCAAACTCTAAAAAACTGTATTTATGTCAGCATGTGAACATAGTATTTTACAGTTTGGGAGACTTGGCATGCTGTAATGCAGTAACTAAATACTAGCAACAAATATGTAGCAGTAAACATGAATCTCGCTGTAGCGGTAGAACATGGAGCAAATGTTTGATTCCGAACTCTGAACTCCCCAGAAAGCCAAGCAGACAGAACAGTTAGTCACGTTTCTTCTGTCCATCATTTTCAGTTTCTGCTCTTCCTCCTCTTTCTATGTCTCTGTCTGCAGCTTTGTTTAGTTGAAAATCTTTAAATGTCAAGTTGTTTGTCCCACTACGTCCCCCAAAAAAGAACTCTGTGTCCCAGAAGTCTTTCATTGCTGTTTGCCGTTTCCAACAAAAATATCCTTGAGCTTAACATTCACTGATTTTTTTTTCACACCAGTAACAAGCAGTGAAAACTAAACTAAATGCTAAAATCACTCTTCTATACAGATTATTTCTGTTTGCATGCATTTTTTTTTGTTCCTGTATTTGTGAAGATTTGTCAGTACATAACAGTAAATAACCTTTGGTGTTATTTTGTTGTTTTCATGCCTGTCATGTATATTTTTGTTTTATTTGATTATTTGGTTGTGCTTTGGTTGTGAAAGATGTACTGTATTTTAAAAGGATATGAAGGTGTGTTTTAATTTTGAAAGAAATTTAATATCATGATGTCTGAATGAAATTTCTCTGTGTTCTTTATTGATTGCATTGATACTTATATTAGGCCAGTACAGAAAAACAGGTATTACCTTGCAGCTTCAGTTATCTTGTTAATCAGAACAACTGTCAGAAGTGTTTTGTCTCGTTCTTTCTTTCTGAAAAATGTAGTTGGACTGGTTTGTAGTGATAGGTAAACAGCCGTGGATGAGGCAGAATACTGCTCCGGCCTGATTACTTTGGCTTAGCTCTGACCTAATCAAAATAAATTCTTCTGAAGATGAAGCTTTACCTAACTGCTTGGACATACTGTGTGGATTCAAATTAACAAGCAAACACACCCCTTTAATACTCATTAAATAATCATCACCAGCTATCATCTGAACCACCAGTAGAAGTTTTTGTATCTCAGCTAATTTTGGCTCATCAGTAATGGTTATGTTCACTAACTCCCATTTAGTCTAAACCTGATTGAGACAGTAGTGCTACATGGATAAGATAGATCAGGTATGGTGTTTCCATTGACCACATAATTGTGCAATTTGGAATTTCAGAAATATATTTGCCTAATGGAAACACACAAATAAAAATAAAAAAAAGATAGGTTTTGGAGTCATTTTAATGTGTATTTTCAGACATATCAAAATTAGGTTGTTTTGCAAAACTGTAATAGAAACACTTTGGATCATGTAACAGGCTGACTGACGGAAACCATGAAGAAGACGACAGGAAGTAGTTGGAGAATGTGTTTTGAATCATAATAACAAACTTATTGACATGTGATTTTTATTGAAACGCCAAAAAACGGGGCATGCTGTGGTGGTGTAGTGGATAGCGCGACCCACGCATGGAGGCCTTGAGTCCTAGGCTAAGAAACATTTAAACTGGAAGAAAGTTTATCACATTCAGGTTTTTTTTAATGTGTTATATTACATCAGCAACATCAATGTTTTTATTTGGAAGTGAGAAATTGGGGGAATTCTGGTAAATATGGAGAGAACATTCAGTTTGTTTCCCCAGAAGAAGAAAGTCAGTTGCTGAAAATGAAACATAATTTCCAACTAAAGCTGCTAACCACACATGAGACAGCACCAAGTCTGCAAGCAGCTTCGTAGCACGTTAGATGAGGAACAGATGATAGATAAACCTTTGATTCTTCTTATGAAATACTTTAAAAAATGACATTTTAAATGTCAAACAACAATAGTTCCAAATTAATGGGCTTCCTCTGTTCCAGCATCACTATTTCAGTCTTCAAAGGAATTTATACTGAAAGACTATTTCTTTCAAATTGAAAAGCAAGATGGAATTCTTCTGAATATCTTCCACTATTATTATTTTTTACATCAGAATCCATGTGGAGGAAATGCATCAGGAATGTTCTTCCTGTCTGAAACATGTATTGAAAGCAATATGAAAGCTTTATGTTTCTTTCTTCTTTCCTTCTTTTCTTTTCTTTCCTTCTCTCTAAAAGGGCTGCCTTTTGCTCTCTTTCACTCTTTCTTCCATTTTCCTATTTTCCTTCTTGCTCTCCTTTCTTCCTCTCTTTCACAGGGAAATCCACAAGAATGTTATTTATGTTGATTCTCTAAGATGATTTATAAAATCTTTTTCCACAAGAAGGCAACTTTTCTTGTTTTAGTTCATATTTAGCTGATATAAACCAGACCCAAAAACGTTGTCCTGTCCTTCGGTACAAATTGCGACAAGCCACTGAATTGATTGGCAGATGCCTTCGTATCAATTGAACAAGTGCGCGCCTGACATTGAAAGTGCGTAACAGAGGTGACTAAACAGCCCAGGTCCACATCCCCCTCCTCAAAAACCAGTCCGGCACCGCTGCCTGCGCTGCTCCCCCAGACACCTGTTGCACATCAGGGGGACAAACAGGTAGGCGCGCCGCTCCCGGCTCACCGGGGAGGACTGCAGTGAGCAGCCGAAAGGGGGGTGGCTCCCGGCGGCGGTGCGAACCAATCAGCGCCGTGGGAGCGTTGTCACCGTGCCAGCTGACACTCAGGTCAGAGCTCGAGCAGCCTGTGGAGGGACTTCTGCTATCAGAAGGCGAGGAAAAGTTTTGACAAGTGGACCTGCGGGCGGTTTTCTCTCGACAGCTGCGACGGTACCTCTACTCTCTTCCAATCTAGCGGAACGCTTCCCTGCGCGGGTGAGAGGCTGTACGATCCTCGGCAGTGTTCTGAGACTGTACGGCCCCGATACCCCTTCTCCTGCTGCGGGCTCCCCAGCCCAGATTTCCGGACTGATCCGAGCGGTTCTCTCGGCACTGGGCTCCTACTGAACTGCGCATTTGGGACTAATAACCGGCTCTTTTTTCTTTTTTGCGTTTTCAAAATCAATAACAAACTTCTATTGACTCAAGTTGGACTTAACAAAGACTGAAGGAGTTACAGAACTGCGACTGAGATTACCTCCAAACATGACAGCTGATAAGGAGAAAAAGAGGTAAGAGCCCTGCTTGGATCTTTGAAAGCTGATTAAAGCACATCTGGCAGAAATCTAATTTCTTATTTAGCTGCGACAGAAATCACACGACCTGTTGCTGCAGCGCTCCACGTGACCTGAGCGGGATTCATTCACAGCAGGTCCCTTTAATGTGTGCAGAGCCGACATTAATGCTTCACTTTTTATTAGTTTTGTCAGAACTGTTCTCTGAAAGGAGAGATTTTGGGGTGCAAGTTTAAAACTTCACATCATGCAGAATGTGCTGCAGCATTTAGTTAAAACATGAGATGCATCAGTCAGTCAGCAGATTATCGGAAACGGCCAATTTTTATTTGAGCACCTCCAACTTGTATCCAGCAGGTCAAATACTGAAAAATGTTTTCATTTTTGGTCTACCTACAGCATGTGCGTTGATGTGCCTATTTGAGTAAAATAACGATCATTTAAAGAGGTATAAATGGGATAACTTCTTTATTTTCTGTCAGATTTAAAACTACTGCATCCAGCCATCAACTCCCTTACAATCTATAAAATAACAAAATAAATTGGTCAGGTAACAATGATAATGAAAGGTCAGATATTTTTCTGGTGCCCTTCAGAGTTGCATCCAGTGAACACCTTTTTTTTCTGTGCTCAGTTTAAGCAAAAATCACCAATAACTTGCTGCAGTTTTCTTAAAAATGTAGCTTTTAAGCTGCAGTAGCACATTTGCGACAACGCAATAAAAAACTGCAAATGAGGCAAATCAAAAGAAAAAAATTAGTTTGATAACATGCACATTGTGATAAGGTCTACAAAACGACCTATATGACACCCACATGAAGCCTTTCACCAAGGCAGATCCAAATCTACATTTTGTGACCTTTGAGCTTATTTGAAAAAAAAGTGAGGCTTCTTGTGTGCAGGGTGATTGCAGCAGATATCAGGCTGCCTGCTCAGGAAATTTCTAGAACTTTTAGATGTCTCTGCTGTCAGATTACATCAGCTTTCTGTGCTGCTTTGGATCTGCTTGCGTTTCTGACAACATTCATGGATCTGCAGCTGATTTTCTGGATTTTATGTAGGCTGATATCCTGGATCAAGTTTGATGCTGGTTTTGTTGTTGATAAAGAAGCAACAGAAGTTGGGGCTGTGGTGGAGGTACTTGATATCCTGTCAAATGTGACGCAGAAAAATGTAATTTCTTGTATAATTTAGTGTAGACATTGATATTAATGGGCTGCAGGCCGCCTGACGCCGGACTGTCTGTCCAGTCCAGCCTGAGGCTCTGCTGCTCTTTAGCAGGAGCGGAGCAGGAATTTCCGTGGCCAACAGAATCGCTCCAGCTACCATGAGATTTTAAAAAATTTATCTTAGGAGACGAGCATTTTCTATTGTTCATTTTAGGGAGGGGAATTGGGACATGTTTTGGTGTGTGTGTGTATTTGTGTGAGAGTTGATCGGTTTCTTATCCCCACTGCTTGTTTGAGTGTTTGTCTTTCTGTCACACAGTAGCTCGTTGTGGCAGCCGCAGCCTCAAAGTCATAAATGCTCTGATAAGTTATGTGATTCACAGCAGCTGGGAGCTCAAGTGCTTTCAGATCAGGTTTATTGGATGATGATGTGATGGGATGAAGTCATCGGAGAGGCTGCTGTTGTCTGGCTGAAAAAATATATATCTGTCATGTTCAAACTCAAATTCTGATTCTGCAGCAGCTAAGTCTAGAAAGCAAGTAAACAAACAAGGGGAGAAAAAACAGATGAATCATTCCTCCCATCCAGCCTGCTTTACTTTCTGTTTTAACTTTCCATTTTATAGTTTTATTTTACAATCACCTTTATAACAAAGCAAACTGAAAGGATTCCTTTGAGGACTGCAGCTTTTTGAAGTGTCTGCCCATCGTAAAACGATAACTTGAGCTAGTTTATGTTGTTTAAGTTGCCTGATTTTAGTTTTTTTTATGTTTTGTTTGTTTATTGTTTTAATTATTTTTTTCATCTTTGTTATTACAGCTGTTGATCTTCAAATATTACTCATATGGTTTAACTGTTACTTCATCCACCAAAAAAAATAAATCTGTCAAAATGAAAATCTCCTTAAAGTTATTTATTGTGTAAAATTGCTGTAATTATGTTTTTGAGCTAATGCAGACAGAACATCTAATTTACAAGATCTATGAAAAAAAACAATATACTGCTTTTATTGAAAAGTGTTTTAATATGTACAGTATATGAGACAGTTAAAGTCTAAATAGTTATTCAGCAAAGCCCATCTTGTTTTATATGACGAATCTAGTAATGTTGAAATTATTTTATTTGGCAAAACTACAACAAAATGTTTTGTTTTTTTTTGCATCACATGATCAAGTACCTGGTGCAGAAGGAGACAGGAAGTAATACATTATTATGGCAAAGCATGTTTTTTTAATGTCTTATCACAAGAATAAGCTTATTCATGTATGATTTTAATTGTGTTTCCTATTTAATATGGAATTAACTGGAATTCCTCAATTGAAATTGTTTGTTATTGGCAGAATATTGACAGCGTTTTGTGCCCATTTTCAATGGCTAATGAAGTTCTGTAGATTGAGGAACTTGACATAAAGAGTCTGATGTTTCTGGTTTCTTAGCAGCTCCCCAGCTGCCATGTTGTTTGTGATCAGCAGTGCCAGAAGAGGCCTGTTAGCACATCAGCCTGTTTACCCTCCGCCATCACCGCTGCTGACTCCGTCAAACGCTTTTATTTAAAGACCCTGCTTAACTGTCACTGGAAATAAGTGGCAGGCGTGTAAAGGAACCGAGCTCCCCACCCACACCCTGTCCCCTTCCCACACACATACACGCAAAAACTTTCACGTCTCCCAACATGTGATTCTACTGGAAACAATGTGCAAAGGTCAGAGTGCGGGCCAGTTGCCAGGGAGATAGAGGTTTCACGACTGTACGGCGGGTGATCCATACGACTTCTCAGTGGTTGTATGGAGAGCCGGAGCGGACCACCTGATTATACAGCAGAGTGTAAATCAAAACAAAAACAGCAGATAAGCACCTGAGGTATAATCATAATGAGAAGAAATGTGTAGGACATGCAATAAATATCCAGATGGGGATAAGTGTTTTATTGAAGGCAGCAGATTCTCCTGTTAAGAATTCGTTTCATATTCATTGTATTTTGCTGTACTATTTGCAAAAAAAAGATTATTCTCCTGTTTGTTTCCATTAGCTAGTTCAAAGATCACTTTAAAGGGTTAGGGTTAAATGGATCAGAAAAACTTCCAGAGAACTGCACATTTGGAGAGCAGCAACTTTAAATTGCTAAAGCCTAATTGACCACCACCTCGCCACTCTTCATTCAGAGTCCATCAGTGGACTGCTCAGCTCGAGAGGCAGTAAATCCACTCGCATCTCCTCCCTCTGTCTCGTTTTTGCATTCCTCCATCCTGCACTGGGCCACTGCGCTGTGAAGTGATGCTTTGGTAGTTTTGGGCGACCGGGTCTGAGCGGCGGGGGTTAAAGTCAAGACCGGCTCTGTGCCAACTGGGACAGAGCTGTGATGTGAAATGTTGAGTCAGCAGGCTGGTAGCTTCCTCGCTGCACGTTTTCTGATCAGTCTTCATTTCTTTATTGATTTAAATAGTGAGGTAAATGGGCTTAGTGCAGAAAAAAACAAAACAATATGTTGCACTTTTGGACTTCCTATAAGTGCAACAATGCGTAATGCTTTGGGTAATATTATGTATTTTCTGTGCAGTTTTACATCACAATCAACTAAATGTTACTTTCAGTTGTTATAAAAATGTTACCTGCTCATTCTGAAACTCCGCCTTCAGGAAGTCATCCCAGCATCACTCCCCTTTAATAATGTTTTACCAGCTTTTCACTGAGAAGTAGCTCCTACAATGCTGATTGCTGCTGGCTAGTCTGAAGGAGCTGAGAGGTGGAAGGCTTCTTAGTGAGGTGGAAGCTCTGAAGATTGGAAACTGCAGCTCTGTGGAAGAGCTGCACCTTGAAGGAATGACCTAATATCCACCAAAGCATTTTGAACAGTTGAATAGTTGCCATGCATGAAAGGATCAAGGCATCACTCTTAGGTATGTTTTTATGAGGGACTAACATTATTTAACATTAACGCGATGTAAAGCTGAAGAAGAGTTGATTTTACATAACTCTACCCCTAATTAGTGTATTTATGAGGGTTGTATTCATCCAACCAGCTCATAAGATGAAGCCTTACACAATCTTTCAAAGTGCTTTTTTTGAGTGAAGTTGAGTAGTGTAGGTGTTTATGTCCTTTTGGAGGGATTGTACAGCATTTTCTCCCACCTTAAACATTTCAACAATATCCTGGATTTTACTTGGTTTAAAAGCAGGAAAGCTTTGTTTTAGCTCTTGCGCATCATATTTCTTACTTTGAAATTTTTCAATAATAAAATCACACAAACATGCATAATTTAATAAAATTTCAAATCTTTATTCATCTCCCACCCATCACTCATTTAGTTTTGCAAAGGCTTCCAACTGAATCTTGGTGCACTTTGTTACAAGCAGTCTGTCACAAATTGACCATTTGTTCCCGTTTCTTCAGTTGAATCTGCCAAACAGATGCTGCATATGATAAGTAGATAACCAGCTGATGGTGCCTCTGTCAGAAACAGGGTCGGGTCTACGTATACCTTTTTCGTCTTGTTTGTAACCATGTGGCTTGCATAAACTGATTATTTGCTGTATGTAGACATTTCTTTGTTACATACTGAACAACAAATGGTCAGGGACAAAACCAGAAAAATTTGACAAGAACACTGGACAAATTTTCCAGTGGTTTTCACTTTTTTGTGACAAAAAAATTGTATTTTTTATAACAGACAAAACCATTTTGTAGGTTTTATCCATGCCTTAACACATTTTCAACACCTCACTCCATTAAAAATTTAAGCTGAAAGGAAAGACCAAGTTATGTTGAACAAAATCAGAAGGTGCAATTGTATTTGGAAAAATGTTTCAGGTCTGTATCCTAGCACTGA